GTAGCTGGGTAACTTCCTCAGATATTACATAGCAGAGAAGAGAGGACTAAGATCTCCCAAAGGTAGTTGAGCAAGTACGAGGCATTTGACTCATACATGGTCTCATCCAGTGTCAGGGCTCAGGGTTTGGACCGTAAAAGAGGAATCAGAATGAGAACTTAAGTCCTTGACCTGTGACCTCAGGTGACCAGGTCTCACCTCCTCTTCTCTGAGATGCTCTTACTCACCAATTAGTATAGAAAAGGGAACAGGTCACCACTCGTCCTCCTGTGTGTTTTTTTCCTACTCTGCTCCCAAGAGTCTCAACTTAGTGCTCTTGTTGACAGCACCCAGTGATCATCTCAGCATCCCTACTGGGAACAGAAATGGCCCCTTTTCAGCTCTCCTGGGGAGTTTCAGAGATGAGGCAGGGTCATAAATCCTCAGCAGTAGGTCCCACTGGGAAGAGATGAAGATGTGTGAGTTTGCCTTTGTTAAGAAGGATTGTATAGGGGCCGTGTTCAGGAGCTGGGGCTGGTCCACTTGCAGGGGAAGCAGAGGTTCGGTGCCTCCAACTCTACAGCACCTTGCAATGTTTCTGGCAATAGAGCTATCTAGAATCCCTTCTCTCTGGACCCAGTTGCTTTAGCAGGCTTCCCATTTAGCCTCTTTATCAATAGTGAAAGATAACTAGTCTTTGATACAGTCCTTGGATTTACAAGTGGTAAGAAAGTCAATTGTGCTTGGCTTGTGGGTGGGGTCCAGGCAAGTGGGTATAGAGATAGTAATTAGTCAAGCCATCCATATCCAGCTCCCCTCTCTATACATCTAAAACTCCACAGACCTCTTCCCTCATTGCCTGCATTTCTTTTCTCTCCTTCTCAACTTTGTATCTTTACTTCCTTCTTCATTCATTCCTTCCATTATTAATTTATTAAACATTTACAGAATATTTGTCTGTTTCAAATCATGTTGAGAAACAATGAATGTGGAGTCCTGAGTAATGCAGAGAGCCATATCCATGAGAGAGTAGTGGTGGTCAATGTCTTTACGGGAGACACCGCACAACAGAGACACAGCTTGACACTTTGTGGACAGAGCTATCATGATTCGTTTGGGTGGGCATGGGTCTTGTGAGTTTGCTCTAGGCTAGTCTGTCCTTAAACTCACTATATAGTCAAGTATATCATTGGACTCCTCATCCTAAACCTTACAGATGCGGATTTGTAGGCTGGAAATAGTATGTGTAGCCTTTACCTGCATAGAAATCTGTGAATGCTGTGCCAGACTTGGGCCAGCCAAGCTTCTGGGACACTGTAAGCCAAGTCAAAGGCCACTGGGCTTCAAATCACTATATGGTGTCCCAATGACATAGAAATCACACCTCAAATATTCTTTCCTTGGATCCTTCTTCTTTGAATACATCCCATCTGACAGGAGGGAATCTCATGAGGAGAGCTGGTCTGTGTCTAGCCATCCAGCTCTGTCCTAGGAGGATTCTGGATGTGTTGAGTCTCCATAAGCTCAACTACATGGACAATGTGGAGACTTTGCCTTCCTCACCTCCCCACTTCAGAGCCTGTGTGCCAGAAGCAGGGAAGGTGACTGAGAGCCGGCCTTGATGTCACTCCACATAAACCCCCACTTCTCCAGTGCAGAGACTGGAATAAGATGCCCTCTCTAGGCTGTAGGTTTTCATCTATAACACACAGGTAAGAGTGTTTTCTTCAGTGACCTTTGTGGTCTTAGGTAAAGTTAATTCAACAAAAGCAGGGAATGCATGATTTTTCCCAATAAATATTAAAATTCTTTTTTATTTTTGCAAAGATCAGGAAATCACCAATATGGGCACACTCCATCGGAGACAATTCTTTCTTAGTTGTGTGTGGTTTAAGTTAGCAAAACAATATCAATGGCTTTGTCCAAGTTGTTTGATGTCAAAATTGATATCAGACACCTCTAGAATTGACTAGTTGAGATTGCAACTAGTCAATGAACAAGAAAAGCAACATGTCACCTATCCGGGTTGGGAGTAAGAGGGGGTAGCATAACAGGGAAGGCTTCCAGGCAAAGCTGAGTCCTGCTGTGGCCATACTATGGGCAAAGTATGTAGGAGGTGGTCCCCCATCCATGGTCAGTATCTAGGCATATGTCATATAGTGTGAAGGGGCAGAGTCATGCAGGAGACCGGTAGTGCTTGCATGGAGATCTGTGAATGGAGAGACTGCAGTCAGAGGAGACAGGTGTGCAGTGAGTCTGAGTCTTCACAGGCAGGCAGGGTAGGAATGACCTGTGCATCTGTCTCAGATGACCGGGCTTGGGAGCTCTATAAAAGGATTTCAACAGGGGCCACATAAGAGCAGTGTGATTTCTTTAAAAACTGCAGCCACAAGCAGAACTTCTCGATGTAGAGAAATGGCCAGCAGCGAGATGGGGAAGTTGACTCAAAGTCCTGCCCTAAAGAAGAAGCTATTTGTAGTCGATAGCTGCTAGGAAAGGTAAAATCTCTTTTTTTCCGTTAGAGTGTCACTGTGCACATCAGTTATACTCCAGGGCAGGCCTCATGTCTGGGGGTAGTTGACCAATAGGACTGACTCCATGGTTTGGTTTTAGTAATTTTTGAGACATAAGAATATTCTTCTCTCTCTCCTCTCTCTCTCTCTCTCTCTCTCTCCCTCTCTCTCTCTCTCTTCTTTTTCTTTTTAAAATGTTGCTTTTTGTTTTGAAAGAGATTATAGTGGGCCGGGTGTTGCTAGCACAGGCCTTTTATCTCAGCATTCAGGAGGAAAGGCCGGCAGATCTATGTGAGTTCGAGGCCTGCCTGGTTTACAGAGCGAGTGCCAGGATAGGCTGGAAAGCTATGCAGAGAAACCCTGTCTCAAAAAACAATCAAACAAAAAAAAGGCTGTATTGAAAAAGGAAATTTCAGAGGGGCCCATGGGGATGCTGATGCAGAAATGCTGGGGGAGATGATGAGTTCCTGACCTGGGTTGAAGGAAGGACATCTATGAGGGTTATGAGCAGAACTGTCAGGAGAGGGGATGGGGCCAGGGAAACTGAGGACTGAAGTGTCTAGAATTCTCTTTCATATTTCTACTCTTACCAAAAGCAATTCCCACCTTAACCATTGTCTTGCTGGTTAGCATGGATGGTACTAAAGTTCAGATTATTGAGAGTAGTGTTTGGAGATTTTTGTTTTTTACATATCTTTCTTTGAACATATTCTTGTATGTGCCTTTGTGTTTGCATCTTCATTCAGAATTGTAAGTGATATTTTGTATTACTGGGCAGTGCATTAAATGTGTTCAACCTCACAGATCACAGACAGGCACACACCAAAGAGATCATTTTAATTTACTCTCCCATTGGATGCACTCTTGTCAATGCTAGATATTTTTCATTGTAGCCATGCTGATAGGTGTGTGGTGATGTGAGAGAGAGAAGAGGAGGGTGGGTATCAGCATTGTGGTTTTCTCCTGCTATTTTCAGATGGGCAATGGTGCTGAGAACCTTAGCCTCATCAATGCTCACCGGAGAGCTCCATGTGAAATGCCCTGTGAGAATTGTTAAGTATTCTATTGGAGCATCTGATTTATGCCATATTTTCACTAACTCTTTGGATAATAATTTCAGTACTTCTTTTTTGCATATTGTAGCTCGCCATTTTCTTTTATTCTCTCCACATAAAATGTTCTTTTGAAAAAAAATCTTATCTTTGCTTCCCCTAAAAATGATAGATATTTTTATTATATCACGTCTGATTCCAAAAAATTGGTTGCTTTAGATTCATCACTTAAAGCTATTGTCCACCTAGAACTGATTGTTCTGGTGCAGAGGGAGGTATGAGCAAAACAGGAAGAAATAACTTTGCTGCTCCCATTTCCACATGATCCATCAGCATTTCCTGGGTGGCTACAGTATCCCCAGTATACTGGGCATATAACCTTCTGTCATTACTCATAGGACTATGATGGGGAATGTACTGTGTATGTTTATCTTATTGATTGTTAAATGAAATACTGTTTGGCCAATGAGACAGCAAGTAGATGGGACTAGGAGTCAAAGAGGATTCTGGGAAATGTAGTAGAGAAGTATTGATCCAGGCAGGAAGTGACATAGCAAGGAGACTCATCTTTAAAGAAGGAGAAACAGGAAGTGTCCCTCTTTTTCCCTCAGCTCCTGCTCCAGCAGCACGATGTGATCCACCAGCCAGGAGGGACGCCCATAAGATAAGTCTTATAAAATATATAGGTTTATGATAGTTAAGACAGAACTAACAGATGAGAATCCTAGTAATTGGCCAAGCAGCATTGAATCTAATACAAGTTTCTGTGTATTTATTTGGGCATTAACTCGGGCAGGCGGCTGGTGTAAAGCTCACGCGTGGCGGGGGGGCTCAGGCGGCTTTTGGCAGAAAGATTTATCGTAACAGGACAATATGTATCTAGGCCTGTGTCTTACCTTTTTTCTTGAGTCATGGTCTTCGTTTTGATCCCAGTGTTCATCATTTCATCCAGTGTGGCTAGCTCTCTTATTCTGGGATCCCCTTTCTCCACCTTCCCAGAGCTGGAATGGATGTGTGAGACTGCATATGACATATCATGTGTGTTTCCAGGAGTTCTGTGAGATGCTTTAGATAGTTATCATAATCCTGAGACTTGTGTGTCATCAGCCTCATTGGATAGATGAAGAGACTGAGGTTCAGTAACTTGAGAAGAGTTCACAGAAATTGAACAGTGTGCTCAGAACCACATGCAGCCTTTTTTTCTTAATTGAAAGTATTATTTTATGTATATGTTTTTTCCCTGTTTGTATGTCTGTGAATCATGTGTATGCTTGGCCTCTGGTGAAGAAGAGGGAGTGAAATTGCCTGGAACTGAAGTCACTGAGAGCTCTGATTTGCCTGGTTCCCTGGAACATCAGTGAGTGCTCTTAACCTTTGAGCCATCTCACCAGCCTGTACCTTCCTTTTGCCTCTACAGCTGGCATGTGACAGGGGACACATAGATGAATGTGATTCTCTTACAGCCTGTACCATGTGGATGATTCCAGGACAGAACCAAAGCTGGGTTTCTGAGTTTATCCTGCTTGGCTTCTCCAGTGACCCCACAACCAACAGCATCCTCTTCACTGTGTTCCTTCTCATCTACCTGAGCTCAGTCATGGGCAATGGTCTCATCATCATGCTGATCTGCATGGACACACAGCTGCACACGCCCATGTACTTCTTCCTCTGCATCCTCTCCCTGTTGGATGTGTGCTATGTCACCACCACCATGCCCCAGATGTTGGTGCATCTTCTTGCTAAATCTCAGACCATCTCCTTTGCTGGCTGCTGGCTGCAGATGTATGTGTTCGGTGCCCTGGCTAGTACTGAGAGCACCTTCTTTGTTGTCATGGCTTATGACAGATATGTGGCCATTTGCTACCCATTGCATTATACTGTCATCCTTAACTGGAGACTTTGCATATCGTTGGCAGCTGGGACTTGGATCTGTGGTTTCTTCTTCTGTCTGTTACATACTTTCTTTGTCATGAGTTTGCCATATTGTGGGTCTAACAGGGTTAGTCACTACTTCTGTGACAGCCCTTCAGTACGTAGCCTTGCTTGCATCGATACTCACGTCATTCAGATGGTAGATCAGGTCTTGAGTGTTTTTTTGATTGTTTCTCCTGTTTCCCTTATTGTTACCTCCTACATTCTTATAGCCAAGACAATTCTCAAATTCAAGTCCAACCAGGGTCGCAGTAAGGCTTTCTCTACCTGTGCCTCCCACCTGACTGTGGTCACATTATTCTATATTCCAGCTTCTTACATCTACATGAAACCCAACTCCAGCTACTCCCCTGAGAGAGACAAGCAGATCTCACTCTTTTACAATGTCTTCACAGCCTTGCTCAACCCAGTGGTCTACAGTCTGAGAAACAAAGACATCAAGAGAGCATTTCTCAAGGTGATAGGGCTTATAGGTTGGACTAGTGAACCAGGATCCAGGATAAGCTGAATTAGATTAGTAGAAATGAATAGTGTCTTTATGTATGTTACTGACCTGTGTGTTTGAACTAACACAGTAATTGGTATTTGGAATATTTACCAATTACCAAGGTGACTGTTTTGATTGACAGGCTACACTATGGTATAATTCAATACACCTCAATAATCTTACTGGATAATACCTGTAGAGATTTATTCATTTAAAATATTTCTCATTCATTCTTTTGGAATTGCACATTACACAGTCCAATCCCACATATTTCCACATCTGCTCTCTACCCTTGTAACTTCTCCTTAATAGAAATTAATAATTAAAATAAAAAACCCATCATTTTCTGACACTCTGTGTAATGACCTATTTATCACTTGCATCCTTCTCTTATACAAGTCACAGCTGTTGAATCTCCTGTGGTGCAGTATTGTACCACTCTGCTCCTCTGTCTTTCCGGCATCTCCATCACATTCATTTTTCACACTGGCATTGAAGGATCTGCTGTGTCACATAATATCCCCCCCAGCTTTACTTGCAAATATTTGATGCAAGGAGTTGTTATGATTCAAGGCTTCTGGTCTGCTACAGCATCAATTACTGAACCCTCACCAAGACTCCACTCTGATGTCCTATTGCTGCCCTATTGTCATGGAGATCCTGTGGCTATGTTTCCACAGGACAGGCTGCTTCACATTCTCCAACAGCTCATAGAAGGGGTAGCTGTTTGAGTGGACCATTCAAGGCCCTGATCTGGGTTTGGGTGGTAGTGGAGTTGTTCAGCCTGGGTCTCCACCAAGTTTCTCTCCAACAAGGGGTGGGGGCAGTTCTTTCTGACTCCTCCAGAGGGGAGGCTACCCCACTACATGCCATTGCCTAGGATGCCTTGCAGCTCCTGGTGAGGCTAGGCCAGAGCTCTAGCAGGTCACACACTACAAGGGGCAGGGCCAGCTCTCCTGTTGGTTGTGGCTGTTTCGGGGAGAGACCCGCTGTCCCACACCTCATTAGTACTGCTGCTGCAGGTCAGTGAGGGATGGGGCCAGCTCTCCCAGGTGTAGTAGCTGGCAAGGGACAGGACCAGCTCTCTTACAGCATGTGAGCTTGGGAGAAGTTCGGCATGGCACGCAGACATCAACATGACTTCAGGTGGCAGCCCAGACTATGCTCATCTTCTTGGCCTTTTGTGGTAAATTGGGCCTCAGACATAAACACAGACCCTGGCTGCTGTTGGACCTCAGAGCCATACATGGCTGTGGATATTTATTGTTTATGATCTAATAAAGCCATTGGTGATCATAATGCAAAGCTAGCCACAGCCATAGAAACTGTACAGTAGTGACACACCCCTTAAACACAGTACTCAGGAGACAGAGGCAGTGGATCTCTATGAGTTCAAGTCCACCCTGGGCTACATGAGAATGAATCAGTCCAAAAGAGAAACAGAGCTCACACTTTAATCCCAGCACTAGGGAAGTGTATAAGACAGGAGCAGGACATTCAGTATTCAGTCTTCTAGCAATTAGTTTCCAGTCATGTTGAGGACGCCAACCCCCTTCCACTCTTGGTAGAGTTCAGAGCTCTTTTCTGGCTTGCCTGCTTTGCTTTCCTGATCTTCAGCTTGAACCCCAAGTTCTGGGTTTTTATTATTCATGCTACACATGGCCCTTCATTCTGATTGTGGGTTTTTACAATTCATGCTACACATAGCCCTTGGCAGCAGCCCAGGGCCAAAAATTGTATGGCCTCAGGTAGCTGCACAGGCTCCCCATACAGGCTTTTTCCTCAGCATCAATCTGTCTCCAGTTCCACCTCTTTCAGGAGAGCATGAGCTGCTCCCCTTTTCTTTCTCTCCAGTCTATCCAACACAGTACTTGATAACTTGGACAAACTGCTGTGAAGCCATGGTGTTGTCTTGACTGACAGGCTGTATTAAGATACAATTACAAACATCTTAGTAATCTTACTGTATTACAGCTATAAGGATTCATTTGTTTCTCATGTTTGTATCTGTAGGTTGGTAGTGACCTTTAGTCCTCTTACAACTCTCCTGAAGGAGGAACTGTACCATGAATTCTAATTGATCTTAATTTGAAAAGAACCTGGAGTTAGATATTGGGGTAAATGCTGAAAAATCAGAGACAAAGGAGCAAGCCACTAGGTCTTACCTCCACCACATCCTCAGACCAAAGGGGTGGAACTGTCCTACAAATCCTCAGACTGAATGTGAAATCCTGTCTCTAGGAATCCTCAGGTTGAATGCACAGACTGGATTCTGTTTCTATGAAAACTCAGGCTACATGCTGTCTCTATGAATCATCTGAATTCTCTGAGCTCCTGTCTTCTCCTACCTTATATTTGTCTCTTGCCTAGCCATATCACTCCTGTCCTCACCTCCCTAGTGTTGGGATTAAAGACATGTGATTCCCAAGTACTTGGATTAAAGGATGAGCCATCACCACCTGTCTCTGTTTCTCTTTTGGACTGAATCAATCTCATGTAGCCCACAGTGGCCTTGAACTGAAAGAGATCAATCTACCTTTGTCTCCCAAGTGCTGGGAATAAAGGTGTATACCACCTTCTGTCCTCTATGGCTAATTAGTGTGGTTAGCTCTAATTATCTTCAGGCAAGCTTTATTTGTTAGAGCGCAAACAGAATATCATCACAAGAACTCTTATATCATCATGTCATCTTAGAACAGAAGGAAAGATACAGTAGACAAACTCACACTGACTCAGATTCCAATGAGTGACCTGTTTCTCTTTCCACACATTTTATGTATTTATGTATTTATGTATGTATTTATTTATTTATTTATTTATTTATTTTTGGTTAACGCAAGTAATATGGTCCATCCTGAGAGCAGGAAGTGGGAAGATTTATCTATAGAGATGTAATACCAGTTCTGTGGTCATGGACTGATGTGTTGTCACCTTTACCTAGTTGGCAGCAATAATGCACATTATATAACCTGGTGTAGTTCCCAGAACACAACAGCATACAAAACTTGCTTCTATGGGTTTCAGGATAGTTGAGACAGCAGAAGTTTGAGAGGCTGAGGTGCTACATTCTAAAAAACATAATATGTGTTGTCATGACAGAAATAAGCTGATAGACTGTGGAACAGAACAAATACAGCTCAGATAACTAACTTCACACATAAATTCAGTGTGGTCTATTGGGAAACATGATGACCTCCTCTGTCAAATGATGAAATGTAGGAAGTGAAGAGAGATGATTTCTCATCAGAACCTTCCAACTTCTGCTCCAATTTCAGGTAGCATCCAAGGGTAAATCCTGCCCTTAACTGCTGATTGCCAGCTCCCTTTCTACCCTCACTTTCTACCATGTTATCCTATTGGGACAGGAAGAGGAAGGGGTCTCAAAAGCAGGTCACAGATTCAGAGACAGTGTCTGATAATCTAAGTGCATAGTCTTCTGATACCTGAATCACAAGCCTTCCAATGACCAATGTGAACACGATCTCCCTTCTCTCTCTCTCTCTCTCTCTCTCTCTCTCTCTCTCTCTCTCTCTCTCTGTGTGTGTGTGTGTGTCTATCTTCATATTTGTTACAGATATTATATATTTTAATACACATATAAATATCTTCCCCTTTTGTTTTTTTGAGACAGGGTTTAACTGTGTAACAATCCTGGCTATCCTGGAACTCCCTTTTTAGACCAGGCTAGCCTTGAACTCACAGAGATCCATCTGCATCTGCCTCCTAGTGCTTGAATTAAAGGTATGTGCTACCATGCCTGGCTCTTTTGGGTTTTTATCATTATTTTTGTTTCATTGATGCCCATAATTAACTGGGCACCCATGTACTGGGTCACAAAGCTGGTTTCCACAAATATCTGTTTGCACACAGGTATTTCTTAGTCTATGAATGTGCAAGTAGTCAACATGAGAAAGTGACCCAGGTGATCTGCTCTTTCTACCCCAAAGCCTGATCTTGTGGTCTCCATGGGCAGTTTCCTATGGTAAGTTGAGCAGGAGGAGCAAAGTCATCCTGGCTCTGTCTTACACATGGTTCTGTGTGACATGGCTGCCCCACCTAATAGTGGACATCAGAACAGTGTGTCCTGTTTCTAGGATGTGCCTGAAGACATCAATAAGGACAAACCCATTCAGGACACAGAACACTGCCCAGGATGTCTGGTTGGGGAGCAAAAGTATCTTCCAGGTAAGAGTACATATTGATGAGTGCATTGTGGCTCACTGGTTGCTTACATGGTCATAAACATCCATGGAATACAATAGTAAAGTTGGATAGAATGAGTGTGAAGAGATCTGAGTGTAGCCTTCTTGGAAATGGGAAAAAATGATAAGATGATTCTGTCTCATCTGAATCTGTGTCAGAGGTATCTTCAACAGGAAAGTTTAAAGGAGTCAAGAGAACGGGGTGACATTATCTTCCAACACCTCTCAGCCCCTTCCCTGGCCATTGTCTTACTGCTTGTCATGGTCATCTTCACTGTGAACACTTCTGGGTTTAGAATCGTCATGGAACAACTCTCTGGGGATTTGTGATTGTGTTTTCAGAAAGTTTTAATTGATGTGAGGTGCTCCACTTTGATTGTGGTTGGCACCTTTCCAGGGACTGGCATCCTGACATCCATCTGTCTGCTTCCTGAATGGAAATACAATGTGACCCTGAGTCTGCTCCTACCCCCATGACCTCCCTGCCATTACTATGTCCTCACACACTCAGTCTAAATAAACCCTTCCTCAAATGGCTTGTGTCAGGTATTTTATCATAGAAGCAAAAAGCATGGCTACTAACTTGCCCAGTGAACTGATAACCACAAGGCTCAGGTATCAGGGATGGGATCAGCATCATGGCTGCCAACTGGCTTCACCCTCATTTGCTTCTGTTCTTATGGAAAGTGTCTTGTTAAACATTTAGCATACCACACTAAGTGTGACATCTTACTATGCAAAGTTTTGTCTGTAGACACCGGTGTGTTACTAACTCTACAGTTCATACAGATGTTTTAGTCTTGAAATTTGTTGTTTTAA